CGGTACGTGTTCCTTCCCAGACCAGAGGCAGAATGAAAGTTGGCGCCGAACTCTCGCAATAAATAGATATATATATAGGCAAAAAATCACGAGACCGGAAGCCGAAAACCGTTCGGAGAAATAAAGATCGGCACTATTTCTCCGAACGTTCGGAGAAATGGTGCTTTTCTGTATCACTAACAGCAGACTCAGCTAAGCGAGTCTAACTTGCTAGAAAATAAAGTCTAGTGTACTAGATTCTAGATCTAAGCTTAAATAAAGGAAAAGCAGAGAAGTGGGGATCAACAACTAATTCAATCCAGACGAAGAATCATGTATGAGAGTCAAAGAGAAGTAGGCTACCCAACTTCCAATTAGATCTATCTATCAATCAGTTTTGGAGCAGTCATTCATCAAAGAAGGTGGGCAACAATACCATGCATATTGGAGAAACAGAATGACGCTAGATCTACGAGCAGTAGACAAGGCCCGGCGAAACCACCGCTGAACAGACATTCATTGATTGTCATGTCATTGTTGTTTGTTGTGTTCTATATAATTAGCTTGAGTTCAGGGTGTGAATCCACGTTTCATACAATAACCAGTCTATAGATCATTGAAAAACATGTTCCGGCCATAATTGTTACTTCTCCTTCTAACAAATCGATATAAATAACGTCTACATACAAAAAATAATAAGATAACTTGAATTTTACCATGTCAAATTTTTCACGCTTCTCGGTTTGGCTTGGCAGTAACTACGCGTGACGTCATCAAAGAATGTGCTCAATACGCAATGCTATTCTTTCCTTACTTTGAAACAAGAAGAATGTTCCTGTGGGAAGGGAGATCAGTCTCGGGAAATGTTTTATTGTTTATGTTGTGGCAGGCTAATTTATTGTCACTCATTTTATTTCTACGTTGACTGCTAGCCCACTCTGCAGACTTTTTCAGTGTGCCGAGTCCGAGTGCCGACTAGGCCCACAGAGTTCAACATTTACAGTTTACAGTGTTTGCCCAGTGTTTTATTATAGAAACGCTTCGAGCAAGGCTCGGGTCTGAAGTTCTGTACTGTAAGTTTGATAAATAAAGCTTCTGTAGGCCTACTGTTTCGCTCTGTTAACTTTTGTGTGGTTGAGTGAGTCAGAATTTTCACCTTCACCTTCGTCTAGATCTATACGACTCTACGTCTACTATCTAGATCTAGATCTAGATCTAGATTCTGAGTGTATGTGTAGTAGTAACTGTTTAACTTAAAGTTAATGTTTAAAGTAGACACTGTAAAAGTAAAGTTGAAATCAAAAGCAGCTAAAAAAATCTAGTCTTGATGCTACTCTTGTCTCTCCGCTTTGATCAAGAAATTTGGAAGGCTCGTATCTAGACTAGACTCTAGATTTAGATCTAGATCTAGATCTAGATCTATCTAGAGCTAGGCTAGAAAATTGACTGCTGTGTAGATTCTAGATTCTAGATCTAGAATCAAGTTGTTGAAAACAGGATTGTTGTAAAATTTGGAAACACCTCTCAGCTCTGCTTCTAGTTCTAGTTCTAGATCTAGGCTCTGCAAACACAGGCTACGTTTTGATGCAAAATGATGCAGTAGGCCTACGCTCTCATATGGACGCTCCAACTCCAACTCCCAATTGTAAAGAGTTCAATATTTTTTGTGCTTTGGATTGCATTGGTCCAATTAGCCCCGCTTCTTTTTATTTTTTATTTTTCCTAAGGGGCGGCTGAATTCTTTTATTGTCGTCTGCGAAATTGATACATTTTTATTGCACTTGCAGACTTGAGAACCTTCAAAGCAGTGAGAGAAGAGCAATTTGTCTGAACATTTGGACGTAGGGAGGACAAAATTAGAGATTTAATTTCATAACTCTCCTCTGAACAGCTGTTTGGAGTAATTTCCTTCCTCACACAAGAACATGGAGCGCCTGGCAGGAAACAGAATTGACCTCAACAAGTCGCCGTTTGACCAGACAACGTTCCTAGGTCGCCTCAAACATTACGCATGGGTAACGGACCCCCGACTTTCTTTCCGGTCAGGGCAGCAGTTGCATGATGCCAAGGATTTGGTGGAGAAGTACAAGTAGGTCAACTGTTGTCTATTTATAGCGCTGTTCTCAACGTTTTCCTTCATGTATTATCAAACTTTAAAACAGACATAATATATCTTTGTTTTGTTTTTGGCTTTTTTG